TCATAACGTTTGTACTTGCACTCTTAAAAAAAGTTTTTTTTTCCCAACGATGCCATAGAAGAAACATTGTTGGTTCTCCAAGGAACCTGCCAATGAACAGTTCTTAACAGAACCTTTTTTCTAAGCGTGTAGAACATTTTACCACTATAAACAACCTTTTGTGCAATGGAAAGGCTCCACTAAAACCATTAAAAATAATGATTCTTTAATGACATCAATAGTTCCATAAAGAACCTTTCCATTGCACAAATGGTTTCTTATAGTGGAAAAGGGTTCTTTATATCATTACAATGTTCTTAACATCAAGAAAAAATGGTTCTTTTAAGAACTGTTCACTGAAAGGTTGTTTGGGGAACCAACATTTTTGGAACCTTTATTTTTAAGAGTGAAGGTTTTTCAAAAAAGAACCTTTACGTAAGTGTATGCCAGGAAAGAGACTGGGAATATGAAATAATAGCCTTAAAATGTTTTAATATAAATCCTCTTTTAAACAGAGCACTGTTATGACCTTGCCTGTAATGTTCTCACTTGCATTTATCTCTAAGGCATGTGAGAATATTTGAACACAAGTCATTCTGTAGCCCTGAGTTGAGTTTGCGGAGTAAACACAGCTTAGTCAGCCCGCGGTCACCTCAACAGAAACTATACAGCAGACAGAAACACAGAAACACCAGCTCATAACTCGTTGCTGTTTTCTAACATTTCTTCACAAACAAGAAAATGTAGTACAAATCTACAATATCCAACTACTAAATATCTGTTTCAATCATTATGGCTTTTATTGCAGTTTAAACAAATTATGAGCTGTTCTATCAGTAAGCAAACATCAGCCATGAATTTGCACATACTGTATATTATTAACTAGAGACTTTTTTTGCACGCATTCTGTCTGTTTATGAGGCACACAAGCATACTGTTTATCCACTCTCAAAACTGAACAATATTTGATACCATGTTTTCACCAGTCCTCTTGACCTGCTTTCAGAAGATGGTACCAGTGAACCCACATAAGAGACTAATTCAGATGAGAGAAACAGGAGAGGCAAGGTGAGAGGAGCCGAACGTGAGCTGGCAGGAGCGCAGTGATCTCATTTTACAGCTGACAGCACATCTCTCAAAAGCAACTCCTTAAGGAAACTGGGCCTGCTCTGCATTAGAGTCTAATCACCTTTTTATGCAGATGAAGTGAGATTTCACATGAGTAATCAAAAGAAAAATACTGTTAAAACCGTGGCCTAGTGGTTATAGCACCCATATCCAGATTGATTAAAGCACTCATTCTTTCTCCTTCTCTTCACCTATGAAGCATTGTTTTTGGTCTTTCTAAACTGCTTTTACCAATAAAATGTTTTTTGAAAAGTCTCATGCTTACAGAATGTAAAATAAAGTAAAAACTGCAATATTTAGAAATTCCTCCGGTACTTCAGTGTCACGTGATCCTTCAAAAATAATTATAATATGCTGATTCGGTGATCAAGAAACATTTCTTGTTTTGAAAATGCTGAAAACAGTTGTGCTTAATATTCAGTAAAAGAGTAAGAAAATGTGCTTTATAGCCTAAGCTGAGAGGTATCTGCATAAAAAAGCAGATACACTGCTGGCTAATCATAGGTCTGTAATGTCTGTATAAAAGGCGTTTATTGCGTTTATTCTTGTTTTGAGGATGCACTCTTGGCATTGCTTGAAGATCTTGCTGAGCGTGCTCTCAGACAAGAACGCGTCTTTAGAGAGTGTCATTTTTTGCTGAGTGTGACAAAAGAAATTGGGTGTGCGGAATGCCCTTATATAGAAATGGTTTTGGTGTTTTTTTATGTAAATGACTTACCTCGGGCACGCAGTCACTCATTTAGAATACTCCAATTCATAAACATTAGAACGAGGTTAAGAACAAATTAATACGCATACGCACGTATTGTGAATTAGGCCGAAAGTTTTGGTGAGAAGTTCGTATAAATATGAATTATTAGTGAATGAGACCCACTGACCCTACACTTTTTTGAACAGTAGTGTATGTGCACAGGGGCGCTGTAATATGGGGGGGGGGGCACTGATCAAAGAGAGGGCCTGACGGTGAACATCCCTCACCGGAACATGATCACGAATTCTACAGAGGCGCCTCTGTATGTGGAAGGCTTGTAGGTGATGAGGCACTAGAGTTCAAAAAAATTACTTTCATGATCTCAAGAAAGTGACTTCACTTCACATTTTACATGGCTGAAGTCAATAGAAACCACCATTCAAAGAGTCACCACACAAAAAAAGAAGGGCAAATATGTTAATCAACATATGGTGCACATCACAAAGAAAAGGTCAATAGAGATTTTTCAATTAAGGGTTTATTTCAGTCTAACTGATGTTTTCCTTCATCCTTTTCAACTTGTTCAGTAAACAAACCACATAAATCTTAACTTGAGCACATCAGTGGATATTATCTTTTATATCTAAACTACTGGGAGTGAAGTTCTGAATTGGATGTTTTTAACAATCTCAGTTAAGTGTAGTTCAGAACCAACAATAAAACAGCATCAAAGAGGCCAGCTGATATTGAGGGATATTCATTGCCGTGACTGGAATATGTTCATGTACAAAAATAACCCCACTAAATGAAAGGACTGACTCATGGGGACCACAGATGTCAGCCATCCTGCTAGATCTTTCTCTTGTTTAGGTGAGGGCTGCTGACTCTTTCAGAAAGAGTCTGGATTCCTCAGCAATCCTGTGGCGGTGTGACATAGATGCTTTGAATAGGGGGATGTTACTCAGCATGTACCGCCCCTCTGCAGCTCTTAATGCAAAACATATGCTGCCATACTGACCTACTATTCAGGATCTGGCAGAGAAAGAAAGAGGACAAGAGGAGATGAAAAAAGAAAGTGAACCAAGCTACCATGCTACAGCTTAACCTTTAAAGCAACTTCTGAAGTATGGAGACCAAGCAAACGGGACCCAGGTAGACACTGGAGAGGAAACAAGAAGAACAATTGTATCTTGCTCTTGTGGCCTTGTGTTCAGCCTGATCGTGGGCAATATGGGCAAAAATGTCCTAATAAGACTATACACAAAGCTTTATGAATTATTTTTCTAAATACAGCAGATCAGGCATATAGGTAACTGAGAGTGATATTACATAATCAATCAAAATTGCTCTTTCACAGCTGGTATACATCATAAAATTGGGTACTGTTGTGTAACATACATTAACCGCTGGTTCAGTTTTCGGAAATCATTCCATATCCTTTGAGCTGTCATGAGTAAATAATGAGTAAAATGAGTAGTTTTGACAAACTTTGTAAACAAAATGAGTAGACTCATAAAGGATACTCTGACGTAAACCTGCAGTCAAAACAAACACAGCTCAAAACTCCACCTATTAACTACACACACACACACACACACACACACACATATATATATATATATATATATATATAATATATATATATATATGTATATGTATATATATAGTTTAGATGCCCGTAGGTCACACCGAGTTTGTGACATTAGAAATGGGTGGAATTTACAAGCAGGATAATATTAGAGAATAATGCTTGTACACACTAATCACTGATGGTTTTAGCCTCATTTATAGAAGATGTCAGAACATCTTAATGGATCACTTATAAGTATCTGTAATATGTGACCACATGAGCACAGCCAACCAGAAGTATCCTTTTCTTTACATGAAAATGCTTTATGAAGACCGAATTATAATATTGTAATACACACTAAATACCAGAGGCAGCACAGAGGCTATACAGAAAGGGTTTCTACCATATGTGCAAAGCCCAAGGGAAAACTAGTTCTACCGGGTACATGGCTTGCAGAGAATGTCTATGTGTGAGCTGAAGAGACGGCTGAACTGGATTTACTGGTTTTTCACCTGATCTGTAACAGTTCTTCACCAGCTGACAGGCCGAAAAGGACACTGAATGTGAGACAAGCAGGGTCTGTGAAAGCATCTTGCCATGGGATCTGGGATCATACAAAGCCGAAAACAATCAAGCGTAACATATTGCTTGAGGAGCTATGAAAAACGGTGTCGTTTTCCACCAAAACAAGAGGAAACGGTCTCATTGTGGACACACGAATAAGCACACACACTTATTCAAAGCAGAACCCAACCCATCCTTATGGGCATGAGTACGGAAGTGAGTTTCACATGCGACTACATCAACCTGCATCTCTCTGTGTGCTGTAACCATGGACACTAATGTGTGTAACTTGCAGTTTTCCACTATTACGTAACACTAAGTCAGGATGACATGAAAGAAAATGTTAATAATGAGTGAAGATCAAAATACTACAATGTGTGTAACTGCCACACTGATCTGAGAAAGTGAAAACATGATAGTGATCTCTATTGATTCAAGCATTTCTGAAGCCTCAATAAACATACAGTGCCAAAAAATATAAAATGAGAAACTGGGTTGTAACCGGCACCAGTATAAATAGCTACAACCTGTTCAGGAGGGCTGGGACAGGGAGGCTGTTTCGGTCTAAGTGAACAAGAGATGGAGGGCAAACAATAGCTGAATATGACACCCAACCCAACTGAGGGTGTTTGTCCAGTATCCAGACACCACCTTCATGATAATATCTTCATAATAATAACGTGGCCATAGAATAAAAAATGTATCTTAAATTGTGCATAAGGTGCATTTACAAATCCCTGATAGGCCTATATTTAAATGTCTGTAATTCCTCTAGAATGAAGAAAAATGTTTAGTAGAAGTTTGTACTTGTTTTGACCACACTGAAAAGCTTTTTATCTGAATTTTAAGCATTTATGATGCCAAGTAGGCTACATATATTATTAGCCTAAAAGATTTCGTTAATGGTCACATCCATAGGGATGAGACTATAGAAAGAAGTTGAAAATAATAACACCAAGCATCAGCATTCTGCATGTCGATAAGGATGCTCGAAGCAGTAGCCTATATCTCTTACGTTTATCTCTGTAGGCGATAGGCGACTGTGATGAGAAATAGATTTTCACTCACCATTTTTTATTCGTTTCTCACAGCGCAGCAGATCTTCTGTTATAATCCGTTTTGTAACTGTTTATTAAGTTAAAATAAACCTCTTGAAATTATCGGTGTGATGTCACTGTCTCTTTTGGCCTCTCGTGCTGTTTAATGTCTCCTCAGGACCAGTGTCGCCGCTCCATAATAGTGTAGACACCGCACCGGTAAACTCGAGCGCACTGACTGACTGTACTGCAGTGAGCGTCTACTCTACAATACAAAGTTCAACTTTGTGGCTGCTGCTGCTTGACGGAATCAAAGAGGCAAACAACCCATAAATGGAGAATTTCGTGCGTTGCCTTTGGCCAATAGGAGCGCCGCGCAGCGCAGCGCGTCATTCCGAAGGGAATCCCACCAGATGATTTCAGGCGTATTAAAGCGTGTCCTATATGCGCAGTGTGGCTGCGTAAAATAAATGACTACATCACTGCAATGAACTACTAGGTAGAATGCAATATTATTTTAATATTTACTTTAAAAAGCAAATTGTATTGTTGTATGTATGTATAAAATGGTGTATGTTATAGTAATCTCTATTTATGTATTTATAGATTTTAACCTTTTATTTTGTCAGTGATTTTGATGTCACATTCAATAAAAAAAGCTTACAACAGGATGTTTTTTCTATCCAGTTCAAATCCAGGTTTTTTATGCAAGGTCATTAAAAAAATCAATATTTATATTTATATAAAGTATATTCTTCTTCTTCATATTATTATTATTATTATTCAATAAATGTATATAGTGTCAATTCATCATTACATGCATATTCAAATTTTACAAAAATCTTTCCCCAGCCATAACCATGTAAGCTTGGTTACATGGTTATGTAAGCTTAGCAGATCATTTTTAAAAGGGGAACCTTAAAAAAAAAGGGGGAAACTGAGTGGCTGCTCACTGCAGAGCCATGGGTGGAGCGTGAAGTCCAGCTCCCCCTCTCTAGATGTAATTTGGGCGTAATGGTGTCCAATCCTGCTCCTGGAGGGCCACTGTCCTGCAAAGTTTAGCTCCAACCCCAATAAATACACCTGAACCAGCTAATCAAGGCCTTAGGCATACTACAGTAGAAACTTCCAGGCAGATGTGTGCTGAGACAAGTTAGAGCTAAACTCTGCAGGACAGTGGCCCTCCAGGAGTTTGAACACCCCTGCTCTAGTCTAACCCAACCCATAACTCTATCCCTCCCTCCACGGTCCACCCATAAGATCCACAGAGCTGGAGCTGGACTAGGTCAAGCTCAACATGACGTTCAGGAAGGGGGAGCTGGACGTCAAACACTGTGGCCTTATTGAGACTGTGCGTGCAGGATTCAGATCATTCCAGCAGATGGCGCTAAGAGTACAATAATACACTCAAGCTAAAATATGCACGATATGAAAACTATCTATTCATGCATGCTGTTTTCGACATTGCAACGCAATTGCGAATCATTTAAATAGTGGGCTTTTGAAATAATTGTAAAGGTGTTCTCTGCATTCGAATACATTTCTAGTAGGCTAAATTCCACCTCAAAGTTGACAAATTCACTTAAATAAATGTGTTAATGTAATATATTTGTCTAATGTTATGGACAATTTGAATATTTAAAAACAAAACGCTTCAATGGTCCAGAGGGCTCGCCATAGCTCACTCCTGTTTTTTGTGGTCCAGAGCTCAAGCACGCTGCACCTCCCCATTTCGCCTTTAATAAACATGGCTGAACTGAAAACGGACGGTGAATTATAGGACTGAGCCCGTCTGCACACCACCACAGGACTCACATACACTCAAACTGTTGAATCAAGAAGACTGAGCATGACGTGAATGTTTAAAGTGGGAAACTAAAGCAGCAAAAGTTTGAGTTTGACAGCCGCTAACGAAGAGACTTCAGCGGGACAGACCAGATCCAGCTGAGATATTACTGCATGCACAACAGAGACTAAAAACTGCTTTTGCATTTATGGAAATTATGCATGTAAACACATCAGCTGCTGAAGAAACCCTGGATTTAAAGGTCTGAAGTAACCCAAAACAGTCTGGCTTACATTTTAAGAGTTTTAAAACGCTCTTATATGGATTTACAGGTCACATTTATGTGAAATCGTCCGGTTTAAATTATGTTCTCCGGTAAACAAACGAAGCCTACTTTTAAGTCGTATCTTCCTCCACTTCAGGTGAGTGAGACACTAGCATGCTAACGACTAGCAGCTAAAGACAGAGTCATTAGTCTTATTTATTAAACTATTATGAAAACTGTGTCACCACATATGTTTGACACCTGGACGACTAGTAACCTCATACTGTAGTTAAGTCTTCACTTGGTTTGCTAGTGGTAACTCCGTAACCCAGGTGTCAGCTGTTCACAGTGGTTACTTTGTTATTCAGTTAGTATCTAAAAGGACCACGGCACTACCATGTTTTCAGACGTGTAGGATAAGATGGGTGAAGATACCTCCTTTAAGAACAATGTGGATTTACTTTTAAATTGTATCATATAAATTTCGATGCATCAGCCAGTGTTAGTAAGGAAACAAAAGAGTAGCGGGGTGTTTGAAATGTTCATCCAACTAATGGAATTATTGAATAATAATAACCCCATAATTTACAATGAAATATAGAATTATGGTAACAATTTTACAGTGACTTGTTACATGTAGTTACTGTAGTAATAACTATAAATTATGCATAATTACATGCAATTAACCCTAAATCAACCCCCAATCCTAACCCTAATTTGGGAGACATCTTACTTTTATCTTTTCAGATTAAGAAAAGTTGGTTTCACTTTATTTTAAGGTGATGTAGTTACATTGTACCCATCTTATGTAAGTACTAAGTAATATTAATGAACTACATGTACTTACTAGAGTTACGGTTAGGGTTTATGCATGTTTATGCATAATTTACTGTTATTACTATAGTAAATAAATGTATTAACGTGTAACTACGTCACCCAATAAAGTGTTATCAAACAGTTTTTAAAGTACTCAACAATTCTAAAAACTTTAACGTGTCCACAAATTCCCCATTAACAAATTGACTCAAAACCTTTGCTATTCAACATAATGTCACAATTCACTATTTTCCAGAGACACATAATTAGATCAATATTAACCAATTTGACTGACTAAATATGACAAATGTTGATGTTCAGATGAAATGACTCATTAAATATGTTGAGATTCCATCTTTGGTGAGGAGAAAAATGACAAGAGTAAAGATCTAGTCAGGACTTTCTCTCAAATATTTGAAAGTGGTCATGTGATTTTTAAGTGTTCTTAATGTTTTACAGACTGATTCAAAGAAAAGTCCTCAACTGCCCATCAAGAAACTAGAAGCAAAACTTCTACCAGGTGAGTGATTTTCAAAACTATTTCCTTAGAACCATCACCACTCAGAACCATCACAGTGTTGGAGAGGTGTGGCTTAGTTTTTGAAGATTTGGTTTGGTAATTGAATGTAGGTTCAAACCCCTGTGGCCTATTATACAAAGCTGGTTTCAGTGGCTACCCAGTTAAGTTTGAGCAAACTCTGGTTTTTCGAGTTCAAGAAGGTGGTCTGTGTTCTTCGCCATGTTATCTTACACTACACACCTAACCTGCTCTGGAGCAGGTTTAATTCTGGATAAGACATTGCAAATCAAAACTGGGGCCTATACCATGAACCCAATTTAGGTGGATAGCCAGGTATGTTTCAGATTAGTTTGTGCCATCCCAGGGTTTCACGCACCATGAAAGTGACTTTTAGCCAGGTTCATCAAAGAAATCAACAATTGATTGAACTCCACCTGATAGTCTTTAGTAGAGTTTGAGAGAAAGAAAACAACAGAACAAAGCAGAAGACAAATAAAACACTCCCACTTATAACACGTCTTAGGATGTAACACCATTGTAACTTATGCTCCATGGCTAACCTGCTCCGGGAAAGGTTATGTTCTAGGTAAAAGATCTCAAACCAAAATGGCAGCTGTGAGCAAAGTGACACATTTCTGACACAAAGTCACTCTCCCAGTTTATTTTGCATAGTAAAATAATAATAAAGTAAAAAAAATAGTGATGATTATTTATTATGATTATTTTATATGATTGATATTTTTTAATATAATCATTACACATGAGCAATTTTAGTTTAATGATTATAATTAAGCATTTAGTTCAAATAAATATAAATATATACAGAAATAAGTAATATATTAAATACCCTTTAGAATCAATAGGTAAAGCTTTAAAAATGACTACATGCGAGCTTACATGTTTGAGTCTCTGTATACCCATGTAGAGTGCTGGTCAGAATTATTTGCCCCCTTGGTAAATATGATCAAAGATGGCTGTAAAAAATAAATCTGCATTGTTTATCCTTTTGATAATATATAAAAAAAAAAAAAAAAATCTACCCTTTTATTGAAGTAAAATGATTGAAAGTGGGGGGGAAATCACATTATGAAATAAATGTTTTTCTCCAAAACACATTGGGAACAATAATTTGCCCCCTTTTATTTAATACTTTTTGCAACCTCCCTTTTCCAAGATAACAGCTCTTGAGTCTTCTCCTATAATGCCTGATGAGTTTGGAGAACAGCTGACAAGAGATCAGAGACCATTCCTCCATACTGAATCTCTCCAGATCCTTCAGATTCCCAGATCCATGTTGGTGCTTCTTCTCTTCAGTTCAGCCAACTCATTTTCTATAGGGTTCAGGTCTGGGACTGGGATGGCCATTGCAGATGCTTGGTTCTGTGCTCAGTGACCCATTTTTGTTTTGATTTTGATGTTTCTTTTTGGATCACTGTCCTGTTGGAAGATCCAAACATGGCCTGTTATAAGATTTCTAGCACAGGCTGTCAGGTTTTGATTTTTTATCTGTTGGTATTTGATCGAATCCATGATGCCATGTATCTGAACAAGATGTCCAGGACCTCTGGCAGAACATTAGGCCCACAGCATTAAATATTCAGCATTTTACTGGGGTGCTTTTTTATCCCTGTGTGCACCAAACCCATCTTAAGTGTTTGCTGCCAAAAAGCTCTTTTTTTGTTGTTGTTTCATGTCCATAGAACGTTTGAAAAGTAACTGACATAACTGGAACTTCAAATGGGACATTTTATATATAAATATACAGTATACAAAAAATAAAATAAAATCAATATAATAAATAATACAGGCAAATTCCTCTCTAAAATGCTTTCACCGTAAACTAATATATTATATCCTTAATGCATTACATGTAAACAAACAATTTTGGCTGTTCAAACAGCTGCATTTTTGGTACATTATGAA